GGTAGTTTAGGTTAGGTTTTGTATTGCGACTCTTACAGTAGAAATTATGGCCTCAGAATAATATAGTAAACAAAAAGGTAGGTTAGGTTAGGTTTTGTATTATGATCTCTACATTAGAAACTGTGAACCCAAATTAATATAGTATACAGAAAGGTAGGTAATGTGAGGTTTTGTATTGTGCCTATTGCAATAAAAATTAAAGCCACAGGTCGAAATGGTATACTGAAAGATACGTTAGGTTAGGATTTCTATTGCGACTCTTACAGTAGAAATTATGCCCTCAGAATAATATAGTAAACAAAAAGGTAGGTTAATCTCTACATTAAAAACTTTGACCCCAGACTAATATAGTATACAGAAAGGTAGGTTAGGTTAGGTTTTGTATTGTGAACATTACAACACAAAGTATTGCCACACTGTTACAATTGGAAGTCACCTGAATGATTTCGTATCAAAACAGACAACTCTACTTGCCAACCAAGTCTATTCGAAAAGAAAACCGTCTTCACAAAAAAAATCAGCGACAACGCCTCGCGGGCCTCTTGAGGCCCGCGCACACACGCACCCTCTAGTTTATTAATAAACATAAAATTTTAAGAAAAGAACAATATGGTTTCCAAAAAAATAAAAGCACAGCAACAGCAACTTTTAAATTGATTAAATCTGTAATTGATAGTATTGATAAGGGTTTTCCTGTTGTTGGACTTTTTTTGGATATGACTAAAGCTTTCGATTACGTAGATCACAGAACATTAGCTGAAAAACTATATAAATATGGTTTTAGAGGAACTGTTAATGATTGGTTGTGTGATTACTTATCAGAAAGATATAACTGTGTGGAAATAACTAAAACTTTAAAGTATTCAAAAACTATACCCAAGAAAACTGTATATAAATCCAACTACAGATTAAACAGCTGTGGTGTTCCGCAAGGTACTATACTCGGTCCATTACTGTTTAACTTGTATATAAACGACCTACCTTTTGTTACAAAACATGAGTCAATACTATTTGCTGATGACACAACAATTGTAATAAAAGGTAATCATAAAATTAATAATAATAACATACTTGACATGCAACATGAAATAAATTTGACGATTAAAAATATTATAGACTGGATGAAATTGAATAATTTAAAAATAAATGTTGACAAAACTAAAATCATACAATTTGGTACTTATCATTGTAATAAATTAAATTTTAATATTAGTTACAATGACCAAAAAATAGAGACGGTAGAATCGACAAAATTTCTTGGTATAATAATTGATGAAAACTGTAGTTGGAAATTACAAGTGAAGTCAGTTTGCGATAAACTCAGTAGGTTTGTTTACGCTCTTCGGCGCCTCCGTGAGATATCCTCTACCGAGAGTGCACTATTGGCTTATCATGCACATGTGGCGTCAGTAATACAATACGGCTTAATTATATGGGGAAACTGTACTTTTATTGATAAAGTGTTTAAGTCACAAAAAAAATGTATAAGATCAGTTTTTGGTACGGATGTACTAGAATCTTGTCGCCCGTTATTTAAAAAAAATAAACTGCTTACATTAGCATGTTTATATATTAAACAATTATGCATATTCGTTAAAGAACAACCGGAATATTTTCCTCTAAAACAGACAACGATGAATAAATCAGTACGCGACAGCCATACAAGTAAAATAAAAGTACCTGCAATAAAACTATCCATAACAAAAAAGAGTCCATTTTGTATGGCGATACAAATATTTAATAAGCTTCCTGACGATATAAGAACCCTCTCTGGAATATTATTTAAAAGAAAACTGCATGAATGGTTAGTTTCCAAGTGTTTTTACTCAATTAAAGAGTTTTTGGAATATTAAAATAATAAATTGTTCCTCATGACATTTAGATTTATATACAAATTGACATATAACTACATACAATAATTAATAATTATATAAACAATTGATAATTTAATTAACTAAAAATTTGTACGCTTGATATAAGCAGATTTTGCAAGGGCCATGTTTTTGTATAACATCATATATGTATGTACCCAAAATCTATTGCAAATAAATTTATTATTATTATTATTATTATTATTATAAGGTGAACATAAAAACATATCAGCAAAAAACTTTTACCACTTAAAAACGTAGTCAAGACCACTTGAAGAACAAAAATTATAAAAAATGTGACTGTCCCTATTAATTTGGCAACCCATATATATACATCTATACATATAAATAAAATTGGAGTGTCTGTTTGTAATATTGAAATAACCGTTTTTTACTACATGCATATGAATAGAAATACGCCTCATACAGCAACAAAATAACATTTTTTGTCAATTTTTGTCTGTTTGTCTGTTTGTTCCGGCTAATCTCTGAAATGACTGGACCGATTTTGATGGGGCTTTTTTGGCAGGTAGTAGATGTAATAAGGAGTAACTTTGACTACTTTTGGCTAAAAATAAAGTTAAATTCCGCGGACGAAGTCATAAAAATAAAGAGTACCGCTTACTTCCGCTTTTAAAATAGTCAGGATAAATATAATAAATACAGTGATGAATGGAAGAGAAAAACATATTACGCCGACCCCAAATAAATGGGATAAGGAAGTAGCAGGTGATGATGATATATAATAAATACGTGTGGACGTATCGTATCACCGTCATCTAGTCCCGTACTAGTGATTAGGCTTACATTGGGTTTTAGGTACAAAAGAGTATCTTGTTTTCTTACTTTTCAAGTTTCGGCGTTTGGTACACATTATCAGTACAGTTAAACGAGTTTTAAAACAAATTATTTTATGGTAAATATAAAGGAGAGAGGTAAATACTTTTATTTACCATAAAATTATTGGTGTTAAAACCCGTTTGACTATATTGATACTGAGTATTTTTTTTGTAAATACATTGCATTGTAATATATGTACATGCATGTGTTTACCCGTACTTACTGTTAGTATATACTTTTTATAACATATTGTTTTTCTTATTGAATATATTTGCACGGCCTACAATTTTTCCCTGTGGTTGACTGATAGAAAATGCCGTAATGCATTCAGTTCGCCATATGTATTTTGTGCATTGAAGTTATATAAATAAATAAATAAAAATGTTTAGACCAGAATACAAATTTTATTATTATCATGACTAACACCCGTGAATTTTAAAAAGTGTGTTTAACATTTTTTTTTATAAATACATAATTTATCAGTTTAAAACCACAACCACTAAACCGCAAGTTTATTATATCAATTAAATTGAGCCGACTGGTTTTATTGTTAACGCATTAATAATGGATTATTTACAAATTACAATGACCAGCTTATTATTATGAATATGTAAAATTATTAAATACATACAGCTGACGCAGACTTCTAAGGGGAAACATTGGGTATGGACTATTAATGATACAGTTAAACAAACTTCAATAAAAATATTGCGATTGCCGATTGAAAGAATAGAAGTAAAGGGTAGGATGAGCCGGGGTAAGGGTGGTTGTTGGTGTGCAATGAAGTGTTTTATATTATGATTAAAATAATAAATTTAAGTATTTTACTATAAAAAATACTACATGTATTTTTGCCATCATATTTGTGAGGAGAAATAAATAAATCATATTATTATTATTATATATAAACTAACTGCCCGCCCCGGCTTCGCACCAGTGTACATATAAATCTTCCTTTTGAATCACTATCTATTAAAAACTGCTCCAAAATCCATTGCATAGTTAAATAGATTAAATATCTTCTATGCATGAATACCTCCGTGTTAACTTGTATTTACTTAGAACAACATTTATGTTAATGAACAACACGCAATATTCTTGCTCAGTTTTCTTGTCGAGTTAGTTTCGATTGAGTAGTAGAATAAAAAATTATGACTATTCAAAGTGTTTATATTAAGTTGGTGGCGTTGATTGAAATAGAAATAATCTTTATTTATTTGAATAAAGATTATTTCTATTTCTACCAACGCACCGCCCACCATTGACTGGGAATTCATCGTCTTATACTTCTAGTATAAATCCGAATCGGTTTGCTAAGTATACTCGTCTAAATATCAACTTAAAATTTATCGAATGGTTATTCCTAGGTTTCAGTATATCTTTTATTACGATAATTGATATCGTGTATCTCACAAACCATTCATCAATTTATACTCGAGATTTTAAAAATATACCAGTTATGGGCATATCTCGTGAGTTGAACAATTACGGATTCAAGCACACGATAAAGCTCCACTCGGATTGCGTGACTGGCTCGTACATTACCCTAATCTGACAGTATCGGATCGCATCTAAATTATATACTGATAGTTATTTTTTCCTACTGTCCGCTGTAATGGAAATATTATTAATATATTCCCCACTAATACATCACTTTTGTAAAAGTGTCTCCTGATTGCTGTATTGTATACTAGATGACCCGTGCAACATCGTCTGCGTTACATTTTCCTACGTTTTTACAATAGTTTTAGTTGCAGTTCCGCTACTATTAGCCGTGGCTTTATATGTATTATATGCTCTATAGCCTTCCTCAATAATCGGGCTATAAACTTTAACTGTGCAAATTATACAATAATGGTAGTAATCAAGCATACGACCGATCTGATGGTATGACACTCCCTTCTAAGCGTAATCTACCATATACGTGAAGAAAAACATAACCTCTTTCTATTTGGGATAAATTAATATTGTTTGTCTTTAATATTATTTACCTATAAATAAAAAACACGCAATTTTCTTGCTCTTTAGTTCTAAACCTTACTAATGTTTAAACTTAAAATTTAAAAGAATTACGGTCGAATTTTAAATATTGGGCGACCACTAGTTTTAATTTATATGGAATGATGCACTCGTCTGCGCTAACCGGTATACGCTGGCCGGGGGTATCAGTGGAGGATGAGCTTAAAGTCAGTTCATGAGCCCGTCATAGCGATATAAATACTCATAGTACGGTAGGAGGGTACGTACGATTTCGTTTCACGTGTTAATGTGGCGATGTTTGTCCAACAGTGCGGGGGTGATGGAGAAGGCGAAGGCGTACATAAAGAACTCTCTGGGCGCGTCCAAGCCAGCGTCCCCGTCGCTGGAGAAGCCGCCCTCCGCCGCCGCCGCCGCCCCGCCGGAGGACGCGCGCGTCTGCTTCGTGTGCGGCGGCGGCGGCTTCCCAGACCACTACACTGTGCGAGTCAAGCCCGACGCACAGGTATTTCTTTTTATTATTCTATAATAATGGAATAGTGCAACCCCCCTGTACTAACGATATACACTGGCGGAGCACTAGTGGAGGATGATATGATGAACCTCATGTTCCTCATGTCAGGTCAGTTAGACCACCTTAGAAAATTACCAGAAAAATATCACAGTGGTTTCTAGGGAGGAACAGCGTGGAGGTCAACCTAATATGGTACATTACTAGCTATGGGTTTATCAATCCACATTACTAGCAATCCCCTTCCCACCACGCCCAGGTACTTTTTTTTATGGGTGATAATGGATTGGTGCACCCGTCTGAGCTAACCGTATACGCTGACGGCGCACCAGTGGAGGATTATAAAATAAGCATGAGATCAGGGCAGTTACCTCATCGTGACAAATTCACCAGGAATTTATCACTATAGTTTCCAGAGCAAACAGCGATGGGCGAAGTGACCTGACCTCCTGTTTCTCATGTCATCCAACACTGGTGCGCCGTCAGCGTAAATGATCAGCGCATCAATGAGTGATATTGATGGACAAAGGTATACCCGGCACTGATAAAGCATTTTATACAAATATAAAACTACATCAGCTTGGAACACGAGAATAAATTGTAACTCAAATCAACCAATTGGTCTTTAATAAATCATCACAAATATTTTCCGCGAGTCCTCATATTAAGCAGAATCAGTGTTTGGTCATGGCTACCGGCTGGAACCGGTTTGCAATTGACGAAATGCGTAAAACGTTTGACTTGTGACACGCGACAATCGAGACAAGTGGTGACTGCGTAATTTTTAGGCAGGTTTGTTTAAGTCAAGCTAGCTGTACGTTGCGTCGTTGTCTGAGATCATTATATTTTTCGGCCGTTGGCTTTTAGAGATTCACTGAACAATACCGGCGAGTGCGGATGGCAGTCCAGGAGAGACTTATGGAGCGGTTGAACTCCTGCTTGATAGATACGCCTTTAGTCTGAGGCCACCGAAAGTTCACTAGCGGGTTTTAACTTGGGCTCAGGCCCAATTGGATGGGGATCGATTGGAGGGGTTACCTGAGTGGAACAACACACATAATGTGGAGGAGAGGGTTATGAGTAATGACAACTACCTATTGCTAGTATTGTACCATATCAATCCACGCTGTACCGTTTGGAAATCATTGTGGTTGATTTTTGATAGCGACATCTTTGTCATGAATTGATTTTTGGGAGCAAACGCGATTTCAGAAATGGACGTCTGTGTCCGACCTTGTTTTTTTTCTAATTCAACAATAAAATAATAATAACTGGACATTTCACGTAGCGTCACCTAGTACCAAGCTAAGCAGAGCTTGTATTATGGTACTGGACAACTGATATCAATAAATACGAATAGATACATATTTTTGTAAGTACATACATAATAATATACATAAAAGACACCGAAACAATGCTCTTTGCATTGTTTCGGGCATCATACTCATGAATACTAATGTTTGTACCCAGTGAAGAATCGAATTCGCAACCATCAGAAATAAGGCAATGTGCTGGACCACCGCGGGCGTGACTGGACCTAGAAAACATCGATATTAAACCAGATATATTTAATGAGGCTATAGGCCTGCTGCCACGTTGTATTAATATATACCGAGCGAAATGTGAACGGTAAGCAGCCGATTTGTAGCTGAAGTTCATACATAACACAGTGTCCACTGTGTTACAAAAACTCCCAAATCAGAATATGAAATAAATGTAAATTAAACAGCAATATATTCGCACCCAACAATTTTTTATTACGAATTCCTACCACTGAGGGGAGCGCGCTGTCGCGGATCGGCGATGGCGCGGACCGACGTATTTGTTTTCCTTACCAATTGAATAATAGATGTTTGCATAGAAGTTGTCGGTCGTCAACTGAATATTTTGTCTGTATTGACGTTTCTATGTACGTAACCGTGGCTCGTGTTTATGCGACTACAGACAGATGTACGAGTTACCAGTTTTCATTTGCAAAATGTATTCGCTCGTTTCGTTTCGACGCAGGAATTTCTTTCTGTGGTTGATGCTTTGTTATTCTTTTGTTATAATATCTGTTGGCCGCGTTTTAATGTTGAAATTTAATAAACATGTACGGGTTTTTATGGACATATACATACATACATATATAGGTACGTATGGGCTTAATTTAACAGTATACACCGGCCAGAGACCACTAGTGGAAAATGATGTAAAGTCGGTTAACTAGTTGTTGTAGATTCACAATGACTTTATAGTATAGTTTATAGTTTTACTAGAAAATGTTGTTTTACTATGTATATTAAAATATTAATATGGCTATTAAAATTAGGTGTCGATGGCAGTAGGGTGAAAATTTAGGATTGTATCTATGTACTTTTTAATATATCTATCATAAAATAATTAAATAAAAAAAATTGTACAACAAATAAAAGTTTTTTAGGTAAACCACCCATTCTGGAGTATGAAAAATAGTTTACGTGCTATTCTTAAATCTGATACTGATATTGAATATATACCTACACAAAATTTCATAAGAATCAGTCGAGCCGTTTTGGACGAGTGTTATTGCAAACATTATGACATGAGAATTTCATATATTAGATGTAGAATTGCAGTACTATTATCTACGACACGCTAATCAAATAACACGACATATTATGACGTTGTATAAGTGTACATATGTACAGTATTAGGGTGCGACCCATCAGGTCTGCAAGCGACAGAAATACGAACGTTTCAATCCAGTTGCGAAATAAACATAGCTTTGAGTAACGCTCTTCAATTGCATAATTTATGGAAGCGCCTTCATACACAAGTCTCTCGTCTGTCACGGACCTTTTCTTACGGAATATTTCACATTTACATTGAAATTTATTTCTAATAGCTATTTTCTATGTATTTTTAACTGTGGTCTGGGTGTTTTCTATGTTTATTATGTACTATCTATGTATTAGGTAGTACATACCTATGTATTAGGTAGGTAGTACGCGGGCTTGTATACTTGTTGTGGCTTGTGTTAAAGTTTCATTAAGTCCATTCAGAACGAGCGGTAGATTAAAAAATGTAATGACTATTCAAAAGTGCTTCAATGTAAGTTTATTTGAATAAATGATTTTCTATTCTTTCTATTCTATTCTATTCAGTAATATTGCGTGAAAGAGTAACAAACATCCATCCGGATGGATGGATATCGAAAGTTACAAACTTTCGCGTTTATAATATTAGTACGAAGTATTTAAAAAAAAGTATTTAGGTTTTTCTATATATGGGCAGTTGTCTAGTCTAGTACCCATAACACAAGCTCTGTTTAACTTGTGACTAGAAAGAGTTGTGTGAATTGTCCAGGATTGTTATTTATTTATTTATTTATTTAATGGCAATCTCTTGCTATGACGGTGTCTTGTAACAGTAACAGTAACTACAATAGGTACGCTAGTTGGCGCTATGCACAGTTTGGGTATGTGACGAAATATGTGTTTACTGAATACAATTTGATTGAGGGCTGCAGCCGTGGCAACTGCCTGGGAACTGTGCGTATATTTGTATTTGTATACTGTACTTTATTATTAGTATTGTCAGTTAAACAATACTATTAAATTTTAAAAGATGTACTGGATTAGAATCTTACTAGTTGTTCTCAAATGAAGTTTCTGAACTAGGCGGTAGGGATAGTGATATAATAATAATAATCCCAGGACAATTCACACAGCGCCATCTAGTCCCAAGTTAAGCTAGCTAAAGCTTGTGTTATGGGTACTAGATAACTGATACAAATACATAGATTTTTTTTTTTGTAAATACATACATACTATACATAGAAAACACCCAGACCGATACAAACAATCATACTCATGAATACAAATGTTTGTGCCGTGCGAGGAATCGAACCCGCGACCATCGGACCTAAAGCGGTGTGCTAAACCGCTAGACCACCGAGGTCGTCTAGCGGTCATATAAAATGGACATGCATAAGTGGCCGAAGAATTTTAGTGTCTGAGTTTAAGTCCACTATACATCCTATGTGCCCACTCATGCATAAACGAAATATCTTCTTTGAAAAGTATACATTCTATCCTGAGGAGATAAAAACCATCGCTCCTAAGAAAATCTTTTAATTCTTGTCCCAGACTGGTCTAGGTAGTGAACTTTGAAAAACGGGCGATCACAATAGGTCTATGTAGGTCGCAGTGCTACATGTCTAAAGCACCTAACAACAGCCACATAAAAAAATATGCCGAATCGCCAATGATGCATCAAAATCCGCAGATTATGCGATATATACCTATAGGTGTGGTTTTTTCCTCTGCATCGAGTGTTATTTATGCAATTGCGTATTTACTATAACAAAATGCTATTTGTCATGGAAACGGAGCGTGAGAGGACTGAATCGATTAAGCGGAGGTTGCGGAAAAAATCGATTAAGTTAGATTATTATGCTGATTGACAATGATTGTGTACACACAACCCGCTAATTAATTAATCATCTATGAATACACACTTTAGAATATAAATGGAACTGGTAAAGACATAAAAACTAATGCATAATAATTAGTAATGAACCACACAACTCGCACAGCTTCAAAGCAGTCTCGAAACTAAGCAGAGTATAAGGGGTACGAAACAACCGATAAAAAAAAATTTATATGACTCCCACTCAGCATTTAACTACAGTGGGTTGCCAAATTAATAGGGACAGTCACATTTTTTATAATTTTTGTTCTTCAAGTGGTCTTGACTACGTTTTTAAGTGGTAAAAGTTTTTTGCTGATATGTTTTTATGTTCACCTTGTCTCTATAACTCAAATTCAAAGTGAATTTCAAGTGCTGAGAGATTTGTTTATTTTGGAAATATATTTTAATGACGGGAGAGACACACAGTCGTTCACACGTGTAAAAGTGAAACATATAAATTATTCTTTTAAACAGTTCTTTAGTGGTTTTGTGAAATAATCAATACCTGCAAGTAAGTAATATTTTACTATAATTAAAATTAAAGTATTTTGGAGCGGATTCTAGAACAATTTTAATTTATTTTTATATTTTCAGCTTTGGCTATGGGTCGAGGGGTAGATTTGACTCCGAGAAAAAAATCCGAGGTTAAAACCCTTCTCCTACACACAAATCACTCTCAGAGGATGATAGCACAACTGGCCGGGATATCGAAATCTGCCGTCAATAAAATAAAAATAAATTTAGATCAAAATCAGCCACTTTCGCCCAAAAGAAAAGGCAAATGTGGCAGAAAACGTATCACAACAACACGTTCCGATAGGAAAATTCGAGATATCTGCTTGCAAAACAGAAAGAAAAGTATAATTAGTAAAAATCACGGGATCTTACCACGTTTTATATTTATTTACTGAGTTCCCGATATTTCGGTAGTGTTTCAACCACCATGATCACGGGTAGACTGAAGAGCAGCGGGTAGATGGAAAATGAAATCTTTTTATGGGCAGACATATGCGTCTACCTTCACACGTCTTCGTTTGTTGCTACTACTGGAACTCGCTCGATATTCATCTCGGCAAACTGTACTCACAGTATCTTTACGTACATTTAATACATTTTTTGATCGCGTATTTTGTTTTTGTTTAATTAAACCAATCACTGGATTCCAGGCATTAGAGAGCCTATAGCCGTCTTCTCGATTGAAATTTTTATATTTCTGTATTTCAATTTCCCGTGATTTTTACTAATTATACGTATAAATAATGACCGCGTCAAGTTTAAAACAGTATATAGAAAGAAAAGTGCTGGATTTTTAACTCAGATAGTACAGGAATCTGGAATACGTGTTTCAAAAAGAACTGTACAGCGAAGGTTGGCAGAGGAAGGCCTGACAGGTCATCGTCCAGTTAAGAAACCCCGATTAACAGAGGCGATGAAAAAGAAAAGGCTTGCTTGGGCTCGTGAGCACCGCCTGAAAACTGTTGAAGACTGGAATAAGGTCAGTTCTATGGTTAATTTTATTTGTGTTATATAAAATCGTATTTACAAAAATTATAAATAGTTTCTATATTTTTTTAGGTATGTTTCTCAGACGAGTCAACTTTTGAAATTCTGGCCAACAAAAGTAACTTCGTGAGGCGGCGCCCAGGCGAGAAATTTCATCCTGATTGCATAGTGGAACGAATTAAACACCCTGTAAAAATAATGGTATGGTCTGTCATCAGCGCAAAAGGAGTTGGGCGCCTCTATATCGTCCAGGGAACCATGAGACAGGACCAATACAAGCAAGTATTAGAAACTCGCCTGTTGCCGCAACTTCAGGAATGGTTCCCGAATGGGGAGGAATTCGTGTTTATGCACGATTCAGCTCCATGTCATAAAGCGAGGAGTGTAACCAAATGTTTGGAAGACCACAACATTCCAGTTTTACCTTGGCCTGGCAATTCTCCTGATATGAATCCCATAGAAAACTTGTGGGAAATTACCAAGGCGGAAATTGCTAGGAAATCATAACTACCAAAGTAAAACTAATTGAAATATTAATAAATGTATGGTTTCACAATCCCAAAATAAAAGAAAGTGCTAAACAGTGTATTGAAAGTATGCCGAGGCGGATTCAAGCACTGATAGAAGCAAAAGGAAATGTGACAAAATACTAATAATTTCCCATCATCATTTTTATTATACTTGTTTATATTTTCTAGTTGTTCAAATATTAAATTATTATAGTCTAAATTCATTATAAGATATGTGTCTGATATTATTAAATATAATTATAGCCTAAAGTGACGTTTTTAATTAATTATAGACCAATGTTTTATAAAAAACGAATATTTCGTGACTGTCCCTATTAATTTGGCAACCCACTGTAAGTTATACCACAGCGCTGATTTTGTGTCACAGTGGGGTCACCACACAAAAGACAGCGTACGTAAAGTAACTTGGTAACCTAATTCAACAATGTTCGCTCTGATAAACGGCACTAATCTATTTTCACAACACGTAGAAAAAGCATGAGAAATTGATATGGGAAATATCGGCGTATTGTACCTTGTTGATTGGTGATTATAGCTTCTTATGGGAAATGTCGCTGTTTTGTATCCCACGGGTTATGGTGTGATGAATTGAAATTTATACCGATTTAATTCTGTATAGTGAACAATATTGGAACATTATGACGGCCTCGATGTTTTAGCGGTTTAGCACACCGTCTTACTTGCGATGGTCCTGTGGTCGATTTTTTGCACGGTGCAAACATTTGTATTCAAAAGTATGATTGTTTGTATAGGTCTGGTTGTTTCTATGTATATCAGTAATATGTTTTTATTTCAATTGCCTAGTACCAGAGAGATCGGGATCGTCGACAATTCTCACATCACGTCTCAGAATCGAATCAAAAGGACCTAGCCTGTATCCAGGATCCCGTCCAAAGATACGTTTATATAGTACATTGAAGTTGGTCCAAAATCTAGGTCGGTTGTCCACAGAGCTTGGAGCCCTACTTCCCGTTCCTGGGCGCCCACGCCCCGCCCACTGGCTACCGACCTGAAGGCGACGAGGAGGGCACCGTGCGCTGCTGCTGTGTCTGTTACACCTTCCTGCGCCAGCAGTGGGAGCAGTACGACAGGGAGAACAAGCCGCACAGCCAACGGTTCTACTGGATGAAGAGGCTCGACGGGAAACCCTTTATTGGTAAGTCCGAGATCTAAGCACATATTCTGTAAGTGCTTTATAGCTTAGTTGTTTAGTAACCGATTTATGGAATTGTGTCATGAGTACGAATCTGTTGGATATGTCTACTGATTAAAAGAAAAAGGGTTAATATGATAAAATTCTCGTACCTTCGTGTTTGTCCTCCGGAACGAAAGGACCAAATCCTTTAAAAATTTGTGTGTATATTCAGTAGGTCTGAGAATATAACGTATACTATTTTTGATTATTTTTTATTTTAGTAATGCAGGCTGTATTTGTGGACAACATTATTATTTTAATTTTTTTTGCCATTAAAAAATATGACGTGCATAAGAGGCCGAAAGGTTCTATGTGGTGATAAATTATTTTGAGTTCGTATTATTATAAATCTGAAAAGTTATGTCTGACTGTTGTTATTATTTCGTGGCTAAAATTGCTGAGAGTATCGAATTGTAATTTGACAAGAAGATAGATTATATCACAGACCGATATAACACAATTGTTATTTAAAAAAAACTCATACCAAGTCGCGTTTAACAGCTAGTATCCGTGTATAATCTCGAGCGACGTGCCGTGACCTAGCAATTTATTACCATGACTTATAAACCCCAGTGAAGTCCTGGAACTGTTAATGCCCATATAAAATCTCTAATTGCGTCACGTCGTGCCGTAGTAATGGACTACCCCGGTTTGAAAATACTGTTTAAAATCTGGCCGATGTCAAAAAGGTTTGTGTCAATTCATACTTGTGAATGATTCATCTGCGAATCACTGTTTATGAATATAAGTGCGGGTTTCTGACGTACGATTTTTAAACAGTGTTGGATCAGACTGGCTTAGGAAAGCGCGGGGAAGGAAGGACTAAAACCTCCCCTAAACTTCTCCATAGATGAGGGACGTATTGAGTTTGATATTGATAGAGGTTTACTCCTTAGAGGCCACTATCACTAGAGGATGTGCTTAACATAAAAAAAAACAAGCCTAATTAGAATTCATCTTACTAATAAACGCGAAAGTTTGTGAGTATGGATGGATAGACGGATGTAAGGATGTTTGTTAATCTCTCACCCAAAAACTATACAACGGATTTTGATAAAACTACAGTAATATATAAATTATATACCAGAATAACGCAGGCTATAAATTTAATTACCTAGGCTTTTATTTTCTTCAGTACTCAGTTTGTTCGATACAATTACAACGTGACGTTGAGAATGCGTCTGTTGGTTTAATGGCATATAAAGTGTCCATATAATCAAGTTCGCACAAGTTCAACGTACTGTCACTATGTGCACTTTATGATAAAGTGTCGCGTTTAACACATCAAAGTGTGCGAATTAGTGCGCATCGGATCAGCGCCGTGTAGTGTCGAACGCCGAGCGAGTGGAGTGTGCGATAAATTAACACCGAGACAGCTAAGTCACAGCTGTTGTAATTAAGAAATAGAAATAATCTTTGCTCAGATAAACTTAATGTAAGCAATTTTGAATAGTCATATTTTTTTATATACGGTACGCCGACTCTTAACACACGTATGAACAAGAATTTTTATACTAGTACCGTTGGCCGCAGCTTGCCTTTACAGCAATCGTCTAATGGTCTCGTCGAATGGTAGGCGGGCTAGTGCAGATGGCATTCAAAGCCGCGGATGGACTTATGGAGCGGCTGATGGCCAACTGCCTCACGGATACGACTTTAGTCTGAGGGCACCGCTTGTTCGAGGTTTCGAACCTCAGCTGAGGTCGTCGTAATTTCCACTATTAAATTGGAAACGTTTAAACTGAAAGGGAATGGATCGGAGGGTTGTAAGAGAAAGAATCTAGCGGATAGCTTTTTTAAAGAAATATTTTTCTAAGTAAATACACATTAACATGGAAGAAGCCATGCCATCAAGACGTGTGTTGATACGTGGAAGTCCAGTCTGTACGTTGGTTTAATTGTTCTTAATTCGGCGCTATGTTTAATTCTCTTTTATATAGTTATATTATGTACGGTGTTATCTTAATAGCAGAATCGCTGAAGTTTATGTAGTAAGTATGGATAAATGGATGATGTTTATTAGGCAAAAAGAATCGAATGGATTTGAATCAACTTTACAATAATATAACTTATACATCGGAATAATAATATATATGTTATTAATTTAACACGGTTATAACTACGCTCACAGCCAGTATTATATACGCCAGAGGGTGATGCTGTTTATCATTTGCGTGGGTAGCTTTGTTTCACGTAATTATGTTCATGAGCATACTTTATAAGTTGTGTAAACCGTACGTTTAAAGGGGGAATAAAATTTCATTGATGTAGATAACGTAAGTCTGTCCATCTATCTCGACCACCAAGCAGTTTAATTTGTAAGCTGTGTTTTGGTTGTACTGTGCAGATTAGGAAGTGAAATTACAGGATAAGAGGCGTGATATGTTAGGCCTCCAAAATGGAAAAGCAGGAGTATTGAATAGCATTGATAAACAAGCTGACATGATGTTAAAAATAAACAGGCGTCTAGAATAGATGATTGATGATTGATGGTGAGTACTATATGAGTATAGACTATATACTATCCGTATACGTAGAACTAAGATCCTATACCAAGAAACTCCACACGCTGGGGCGTCCGACAGTGCGGTTTCAGAGGAGCTTCCTCCCGCGTGCACTCACATTGTGGAATGAACTACCTGCCGAGATTTTCTCGAGAAACTACAGCATCTGGTTTATCAAAAAGGATATACTAAGGTTTCCTATACCATATACTATAGAAGAATATACAAAGGTTTTCCTAAGGGTAGGCAACGCGTACGTGTCATCACTTGTTTCAGGCGTCAATAGGCTATGGTAACCGATTACCATCAGATGGGCTGTATGCTTGTTTGCCACCATCATGGTATAAAAAAATGTCCTGTATATTCAAGTACAATGAAATATATAAAGACAAAAAATTTATGTTTATCTTTCATATTCACGCCAACGTTTTTTTTTTTAAATAAACATTTCTGTATAAGTTAATTCCCGTCCGTGGTGGATGTAAAGCCTTTTGTATTATCGATGCCTGCAAATTGTCGCCAAACGTTACCGACACAAACGACAATGTTTAGCCGCGCACCCCCACAGGATTACAAGGGAGGAGGGGGAGTAATCCCACGCTTTTGTCTGTACTCACACAGACTTGTATCCAAATGGAACTACCCTGAGTCCCGGGAAATGTTTGACGCAATGTTTTGTAGCTAGACTGTACTTTTTTGTTAAAATAAGTACTTGAAATGGAGAAAATCTTACTATTATAAACGCGGAAGTTTGTGAGTATAGATGGAAGTTTGTTACTCTTTTACGTAAAAACTATTGAACGGATTTTGAAGAAACTTTACAATAATGTAGCTTAATCAGAATAACATATAGGCTATATTATTTTTCTATCCGTGAAAACCTATAAGTGGCCGTACTCATTTAATTATGTTTATAACTATGTTTGTAAATAGCCTTGGTTTTCCGAAAAATAAATAAATTTAACACGGTGGAAATCGCACGAACAGCTACTAAAGCATAAATTGGAAGCAAACATTGATATTATCACATTAGTATTATATAAATTTATAAATTAAATTTATATAATTAGGGACATAATTTTTATTACTACCACTACACAATCGCCTATATACATTAACAGCACTACAAGTAGGTACGTGGTACTCATTATTTATTATTACGGACACGGTTGTCTAGCGTACAACGCTTTACTTCCAATGGTCGCAGGTTATGTTTCACGGCACGGTACATACAATTGTATTAATGAGTTTGTATCGGTCTAGGTGTTTTCTATTTAATTATGTATGTATTTTAAAAAACTATCTATGTATTTATATCAGTTGTCTGGTACCCATAACGTAAGCTCTAGCTTGAGACTAGTTGGCGATGTGTGAATTTTCCAAGGATAGTATTATTATTTACTTTTCAAAATTTTTTTCGTAAAAAAATGCAAAGTTTTGTATTAATAATAACACAATTCTATTTAATCTACATTTGTGTTGTGTACGCACGAAATGATGGACACAGCGTCGTGTTTATTCTGTTACAATTCTTTTATTTTCAAAAGAAAATGTCTCGAATTGTTTCTTTTGTGTCTGCTGAATGTTTTCTTTTTATTAGACGTCTGTTTATTGTAAACTTGTATCAACGGGATGGGTCGTTAACTTGAATGAATAAAGCTACAGCTATCTCGGTCTCGGTGGCGTTACGTTGATACAACGTACATTACAGATTTGTTGTCTAATTGTTTTAATTCTTATCGTGTGCTAAAATCTATTGTCTCTCTCTATTCTCTATCTCTGTCTCTCTCTCTATTTCTATCTCTTTCTCTAGTAACTCCTTCTCTAATATCTATTGGTGGGCATTCGACAATTGTAATATTGTAGCATTTGGAAAACTAAAACTATCGAATACAACTGCTAGTTTCAAAGCTTAGCGCGTACAAATAAACTTCAGCTTTTTGTATATATATGTATGTGGTATTTTGATAATAGTATTTCAATAATGTTTTAGGAAAGATTACACAGAGCTATCTAGTCTGAAGCTAAGCAAAGCTTGTGTTACGGGTAATAGACAACTGATGTATACATAGTTATGTTTCTTTTTGTAAATATATACATATTTAAACACGTTGACTTTCAGACAAAAGAGCAGTTTTTTTTTAATTACAACCAATCATACAAAGATGGCATATTACGTTTTGTTACATCATTTACTTATGCGCTTACATTGCGTTTTGTTACATTAGAAACTTAAATCTAACAATACATAGAAAACACAAAGACCGATACAAACAATCACACTCATGAATACAAATGTTTGTATCGTGCGAGGAATCGAACCCGCGGTGTGCTAAACCGTCATATATATATACAAACTGTAAGTACCACGCCCACACGCGTTCTATTTTTATAACGTTATCTACGGACGGATCGTTATATGGGATCCATCAATATTGTTACGGCGTTCCCTATACA